TGCATCACAATGAAATAATAAACTAGAAAACTAAAGCTAACTTTTTCGTTACGGCCACATATGGGCAACATACTGTATTTGTTCCACTTCTTCCCACATACTAAAATCACGCAACTGATCACCAGAGTTCATCTCTTTACTTTCTAAACATTGAACATCCCATAACAAATCAAAAAGGTAGAAAGCGGTCAGGGCGCTGATTAGGATTACATACCCTACGCTTAGGTAACCTGCAGATGTCTGGAGAAGTACAGCTCCTTGCAGTTCTCCATCGGCTAGATCGCAAGGTTGTGCAAAACAAAGATTTAACCCGTTATCTGAAGGTGCAATCAATACGCCAAAAACGAGCTACAATTTCTTGGGGGTAATTAAAAGACATTGCGGTCAATTTGTTAAAATGAGAACACACGGATGTTGTTGACAATAGCAACCAATCAGAATTCTTGTTTTCTTTCACCTGCAAATAAAAAAGGCGATACATAACCGGTTGCTACTGGCAACAGTCTCCGCTTGTTCTTTAGATTTAATGGCTTAGCCTGAGCGGAAGAAGCATTCGTAAACTGCAGGACTCACCTCCTCGTCATGCTGCTGACAGTAGGCTAATCTCTCCGGGTACATGGGCAGGATGGGGAAAGCATTTCCCTGGAAGGGCGACGAGGTGGACGAGGATGAGGTAGTGGCAGCGCTGGACGCTGCGGAGTTGCACGGGGACGCGGTGCCGCTGATACATCCGGGCACCCTGCCCCCTGGTCCAGTGAAGCGCTCGATGAAGTGGTCCTTAGTGAGTCGCACCCTCTGATGCGCCCGCAGGCAGTTGTCGCACAGGTTCTCCTGGCAGTCGAGGCAGTGCGAGCTCGCCCCGTTGCCATCGTCGCAGGAGGAGCAGCGCGGTTCGCTCTGGCTGGGCGGCGCCCGGCGGAGGAGGCTGGAGGACGAGCACGACGCCGAGCGCGGCCTCTGCGGACGCCGGGGGCCGCCCCTGCTCCCGTTGTTTGAAGACTCCTCGGCGGTCCCCACCACGGCATCCAGCAGGTTGCTGAGATGAAGGAAGGTAGAAGAGGGCAGAGCGTCCATGCCGGCCTCAGACATGAGCACCTTGTGGTCACACACGGGGCAGTGCAGCTGCAGGGAGTCGCCAGGGCTCCGGTGGCCCTCCAAGCACTGCCGGCAGAAGGCGTGCAGGCACGGCAAGACGTGCAATCTTCGGGGCGCCGAGCCGAGGTTCCCGCTGCCCCCGGTACTGCTGCTGGAGGTCTGAGAAGAGGATGAGGATGAACTGGAGGAGGAGATGGGGGCAGAGGACACACACATCTCCTTACACAGTGGGCACAGCTGGAAATCTGACTCTGGGAATGAAGCCATTTACAGGAGGAGAGGGGGGCAATGGAGGAAAAGCTTTGGGAAGAATCAGACCATTTACAGCATGCTGCAGATCTCCTCCATTCACCTATGTAAGAGTGAGCACAGCAGGACCTCTTGCACTTTCCAGGCAGCTCACACACCCCTTTCCTCCAGGGCTTGTTTACACTGAATAATTGCAATCGACCTCCCAGGTGTAATCAATAACCCTGGTTTTCCTGGTGTCAGCATTTCAGGCCGGACACTCCATGCACATACAGTCTTTCTGGAGCCAGGTATGTACTAAACCAAAGCAGGAGCGCACATCAACGATCAGGAGCCACACTGAGCCAACTTTCAAATCCCACGATGAGCATGCCGGACAGATCCCCGAACAGCATGCCGGACACACCCCCCTCTCTCTCCGCGGGTCACACCATGCACACTGCCGCCTCCAGCTTCAATTATTCATCTGCGTCCTCCGGCATCAGATCAGCTTTCCGCTGTCACACATCTCCGGAGATCCATCGTCCATGGACAGCGTTACATAATCCTGGAGACGCACCGATCCGATCCCTATACACATCAACAAGACGTGCACCGGTCACTACTCAGAGATGCCAGTGAATGATCAGTCC